AGTGCTGAAGGCACCACTTATATCACCAGTTTCATGAACAACAACTTTTATGTCTGACGTTAGCATATGTTCACTATTTAGGTTATGTATGCCTATACATTTAGCCAATGTATAACCTAACCTAACTTAACATTGGCACGTGACCAATGACTCTGCCTGGATCCTCCATGTGAAATGATGCATTCATTGGCATGTGACCAATTACTCTGCCTGGATCCTCCATGTGAAATGATGCATTCATTGGCATGTGACCAATTACTCTGCCTGGATCCTCCATGTGAAATGATGCATTCATTGGCATGTGACCAATTACTCTGCCTGGATCCTCCATGTGAAATGATGCATTCATTGGCACGTGACCAATTACTCTGCCTGGATCCTCCATGTGAAATGATGCATTCATTGACATATGACCAATTTATAAATGCCATAACAGATGAAGATATGCAAGTTAACTTGAAACGCAGCAGGTGTAAATCTTTAAGGAAAGCTCTTCAGTTAGAGATGGAGCTTGAATCCATTAAAGTCACAGATAAACAACTAAAGGCACCATTTAGAAATTATGAGATTATCAAATCAAGTAGTACTGAAACATCAGTTACCCCTGATTATAGAAACTGAAAGGATTAGTTAGACAACTAGTTACACAGGATGGAGGAAGTAAACCACAAAACAAGTATATGAAGAACATATTGCCAGGTACTGCAGTAAAAACGTGTTGGGAGTAAAATCTCCTTCTTGTACGTCTTTTTTTTTTTTTAACAACAATGAAGTTAATTGATATATGAGAATATTAACTTACTTAATTTTTTATGTATTTGAAGAGTTAAACATTTCTAATTTTTACTAAACAGAAGCCTTGTTATTGTACTATCAGGATTGGCATTACAAAATAAATCTGCTTGAGACTCCAACTTAGAAGCAAATATAAAACTTTTGTTGATGAAATATATACTGCACTAAAACTATGGTCTGTACAAATACAGGTAAAAATAACCATTGTATCCGATAAACTTATGCCAATGACTACACTTATACATATAAATAATATTCATGTACAGTTCTTAGTTTTACAGTGGACCATAGAAAAGTACACTGTAAGTATATTGTTCTGGGGAAACCAGGAGACAGAAAAAGAATGATATAACTAGATTATCTACTTTAGTTTAAGATTTTCTGTACAAAACAATGTCCATTCTATTAAGATCAATGTTATGTAGCCTATTACATCAGGTCATGATGGTCAATCAATTAAATTTGGTGAATACAGGCAAGTAACTGATACATTTATAAAATGTATGTTAGAGTAATTTATCAACCAGTCTTAGGGAACCACTCGATTAATACTTTATCGTAGGCAATTACAGTATTGAAGGTTCACACATTAGTAACGGTATACTCTTTGTGAATGGCTGTTATTACCTACGAGTAAAGAAATTTACCTACTACCCACTATGTTCTATTTATAGTGGAAGTACCCACATACATAACAAAATGAAAGTATCTACATATTCATTTAATCTGTGCCCAATGACGAAGCGCTTTTCATCTTTTGTAAGTACTGTATTTTGATTGTGTTATGTTAGAAAATTAATTCCTAGATCATAAATCTAGTTCATCAATTGATCAACAGATAGCACTGCTATGAAATATTTGCATTCCTGATATTTTTTAACTTACGACTATTTCACATACAGACACACACAAAAAATATTTACCAATGTTTTTTTTATGATTTTTATAGCTTTCACCTAAGTTATAACATTAGTTTCTGTAACATAAAAATCAAATGGATTTGAATGTGTTTTTCCTTCATCTGTTCAATATTTTATTGCATTTCAACATCAAACATCCTTAAGCTACAAATGTGTATGTAAGAATAAAATGTGCCACAACACCAATATTATTATTTATGTACTAACAGTAACACACACACACACATGTACTTTCAAGCATCCCATTGCAACTGTGGTAAATGTTCATTACTTCAAAAATCATGTTTTGATATTCCATCTTACATGTAACAAACGTTTGTTAATAATATTTGTCATGTTTGTTCATCAAAAGATGAATGTGCGATTTAATAAAGATACCTCGCACCTATTTTGTGATAGCTGTTGGACATCAACACCAGGTTCTAATACTCCCAGGTCCACAGACTGACAATTATAAGCAAGGTTATTATAAGCTGTAAGGTCAATCACTCCATCTTTTTCCTTTGATAAAGACATTCTTGAATCCATGAGACTAAAAAAAAAGTTAAGACATCTTGGAAATAAAATAGACTTTTTTTTGAGAATAATGTACAAAAGTGTTAATCAAAAGATTATTGAAGCTAACAAAAATATATTCACCTTAACTAGAATTACAGGAAATGACAATAAAATCTGCAAGTTACATCTTCAACCCATTATTTATTACCAAGTCATAAATTCTATTTTAAATATGATGTAAAAAAAGTATATAGTAATTGTAATATTTTATATTTTTGAATAATAAGCTTGGTTTATCTTAGTATAAATAAGAACTGACACTATAATCTTGTCTTAGTTAAAAAAACAACCAGAACTCATACTTTAACAAATAATTTGTAGTTGTCAAGTTCTTATTTTCAAAAGAAGCTCACCAGTACTTAACTATCTACTTAATTCTGGATTCAAGTTTTTAATGGCCAAAAAAAGATTATAAAAATAAGGTTCTTGAAATTATAAACGATATTACTAAATTTTACAGACTAGAGAAAGATCCAACTAAACCTAAGTAGATATTTATTGAAGATAAAAAAAAAGAAGAGAACATTATAAATCAACAATTACACAAAGAAATAAGACCAACTGGTTCACATGCTGGTTATTCTTTATGGATAACCAAAAATACTTTAAAAAATTGTCAGTGAAACTTGTATTATATCTATAAATTAGCCAAATTGTTGAGTAATGGTTTAATGAAATCTATACGTAATGAGTATACGTTGAAAGACAGTCGTAGGCTTGTTAATAGCACTAACGAGTTAAATATGCCTTGAAAATAAAGAAACAACTTAAGACTTTATTACGCAATATTTGTCAACAAGTAGAATTTTGAGTCATCCTTAAACCTATTAGAATAAGGAACTATTTTGTGTTTAAAGACAAAATAGGTAAACCAAATCACTTGATATAAATGCATCGAGTGTTTTAGAATATATATCTATGTATAAGATCTACTTCAAAAAGACTGGTATAAGAAATCATGGAGCTCAGTTTATCAAGAAGTGTCAAACATACTTGAGTATGTGGCAGATTGCAATGATA